TCAATATATAATACAATATGATAACAACATTTGAAACATGAATTGAACATATACCTTTGTCACAAAACTTATTCAGAATACTCAACTTGTAATAAATATTTTGGAACTTACAAGGATATTGGGGTTCCAATTCTTAAAGAATAGTTTAGCCATCATATCTCAATGGAGCTTCCTCAAACTCTAAAATGTTCCAGAATTCTTAGCAACTTCAATCTATTTTAGAAATATAACAAATTGAACCAAAATTAGGAGGATGCTCATGGTTCTAGCTCATTTGAGCATTTTATCAAATACTAGGTATGCAATAAGGTTTCAAGGTCCTTTTATGGAGGATTCCATCATCCCACAACCCAATCTTTACCATTTTTAGCTCAATAATCCTCCTACACCCTTTGATAACACATGCATGTAAAATAAACAACTCTCATGCCCAAACATTATCTTGTTAATTACCCATTTCTAGAAAAAAATTGAAATTGAGGGTTAGAGTGTAGAATCTTACCTCTAGGATGAAGACCTAGTGAGTTTCCCTTCTTAATCTTCCAGAATTTGAGAAAGAATTGAAGAACAATTATTGAGGAACACCTTCTCACTCTAGGGCACTCTCTCACACTCCAAAATATCAGATTTTAGATCAAAAATGGCCCAAAGCGTGTATTTAACGAAGTAGGATCGAGTTTTAAAAACCCAAAAAATGAAGCTTAGGAACAAGGTCTGCGATCGCATAATCGATATGCGGACCACATATCTATCGCATAATTGGTGTCCAAAGCTAGCCAAAACTCTGCCTAGGTCTGCGGTCACTATGCAGCCCGCAGACCCGTTTTGCAGTCGCATAATGAACCGCAGAACAGTTCTGCGGTCGCATAATCGACCGCAGAATAACATCCAAAATTTCCCCTCTCCTGCCTCACTCTGCGGCCATTATGCGGCCCGAAGAGTGATTCTGCAGTCACATAATGGACCGCAGAAATACATTTTTTTGCCAAAAAATTTCCTTTATCCCTCAGTGCATTGTTCAACCCAAAAAGATTTCTATAATCCTCAACACGTAAAACCAATTCGGCACCACGAAATATTATTTTCTTTTGCAAAATTTTTACGGGGTCTTACATGTGTGATTTGTAGTTTTGAAGTTATTTTATGTGATTTGAGACCTCGAATGGGTCCATGTTATGTTATGGAACTTGTTGGTATATTTGGGCGGGGTCCCGGGGACCCCGAGTATGTTTCAAACGAGTTTCAGATAATTTTATTGCTTGGGATCAGGTCTGTTTGGTGTATCCGCATCTACGAAGGTTTGATCGCAGATGCGGAGCCTCTTCTACGATATTGAGGCATGAGGGGGGGGGGGGGAATT